TTGTCCTTAACTTCACATTTTTTGATGCGGGTGTGTGAATGCGCTTTGCACCATATTCACTGCAGCAAAAATGTGAGCGTATGAGTTTCTTAATTTGTGATTTATAGAATAGGATTTGTGCACCTGCAATAAAGAACTTGAGAAGGTGTAGCTTGTGTTGTATTTGTGGGAGAGAGAAAAACATTTTTTAAAGTTTGCAACTCTTAAAACATTTTTCTCTGTGACATCAAATTTACTCTATACACATGTGTAGCTATTCTCTACAACAACAAATTCCACTGTCATAGGCGGTCAGTTGATTTACCCCAAAAATACCGTCATACCGATGTCCTCACAACTCTTTACGGTCATTTAAGACTTTATTTAACTCAAGACTGCTTATGAGGATATTTGACAAAGCGGACATTTTGGCATACTTTTATGTGTTTTTGCCCGTTCAAGCATAAAAGAGAAAATGCGGCCGCTCACTGTCTGTGTGCACAAGTGTGTGTGTCACACAGACAGCTGCGTTCCATTCGACAGGGTGCCTACGGAGTGTTGACTGCTCCCTACTCCCTAAATACAATAATCGCCCATTTGGAATGCCCTTCAACGTCAAAGAAAGGCAACATTGGCGTCGCGCAGATTATGATATTGTCACAAACAGAACAGGACAGACAAGTTTAAGTGAGTATAATAACACTTTATTAAAGGAATGGATGAGAAAGCACAGTGGGAAGGCGACACTGGCTAAGTCAACTGGTAGCAGATAATTCGATGAAGACTTAACTGGCTGGTGACAGTGTTTCTCTGTGCAGGTGAAGGACTGGTGCGGAAAGCTGGTGAGCAGATGAACAGGAGATCAAGAAAGAAGACGATGAACGGATGATGGCAGACAGAAGACGGATCAGGTAGTATAGGTAAGTTTCTCAGGTGAGTATTCGGTAGGGTCTGTAGAGCTTGTCGTAGATGTAAAGACGAGACCAGACAAGGGTGTAAGGGTGATGACGGTAGATATAGATATAGGCAGTGCAGGGAATCAGTTTTCGGGTGATTATCTGCAACAGGTGTGGTGATGGCTGGCGGAGTGCAGGCGGGGACCAGGAAGGAAATGTAGTGCTGAGAGGTTACTGAGCTGGTGACTGAGCTGGTTACGGTGACAGGGAGACGGAGTCGCCCTCTCTGGACTCGGGACGGGAGACGGAGTCACCCCCTCTGGACTTGGGATGGGAGATGGAGTCGCCCTCTGGACTTGGCGGCAGCCATCTTGACGCAGGGCCTAGGCGTGGCGGCCATGAGGGGATGAGACTCTGGAACGGCGGTCATCTTGGGACGAGATTCCGGAACGGTGGTCGTCTTGGGACGAGATTCCGGAACGGCGGTCATGACGGGACGAGGCTCTGGAGTGGCGGCCATGACGGGACGAGACTCTGAGAGGGCAGTCATGACGGGACAAAACTCTGGATGATGGTCAGGGGCTGGTAACAAGACCCGAGCGAACCTGTGGATGAGTGATGGTGGTGTCCTCATCGACCTCACCAATTGTGAGGGACAAACATAGCCACAGTACATAGTCAATATAGCTCTCCAAGGAACAAGTGGTAGCTGTTGCTGGTACCTGGTTATAAAGATCGTCGTCTAAACCGCACCAAAACATGATTTTCATGGAAGTATCATTTAATGATATTTGGTTGGAGAGCTCAAGAAAATCCTGCACATACTCCTCAATGGGACGACCATCCTGGAAGATGGAGATGATTTGATTGGCTGGACTGTTAGGGGCGAGGAAAAGGTTCATAGTGCTTTTTTGGTTATCGTTGTAGTGGTCTGGTCTTCTGTCACAAACAGAAGAGGACAGACAAGGTAAGTGAGTATAATAAAACTTTATTGCAGTAATGGAATGGTTTCCAGAGTGGGAAGGCGACACAGGTAATTCAACTGGTTGCAGATGAATCGATGAAGACTTAACTGGCTGGTGACACGGTGTTTCTCTGTGCAGGTGAAGGACTGGTGCGGGAGGCTGGTGAGCAGACGAACAGGAGATCAAGGAAGACGACGATGAATGGATGATGGGAGACAGAAGATGGATCAGGTAAGTTTCTCAGGTGAGTATTCAGTAGGGTCTGTAGAGCTTGTCATAGCCATAAAGACGAGACCAGACAAGGATGTGAGGGTGATGATGGTAGATATAGAGTGTGTTGATGAGGGAGTGCAGGTGCAGTGAATCAGTATTCGGGTGATTTATCTGCAGCAGGTGTGTTGATGGCTGACGGAGTGCAGGTGGAGACCAGGAGGGATGCTGGGAAATGTAGTACTGACAGGTTACTGAGCTGCTGACTGGTGACTGAGCTTGGTTACTGTATTGGTTACAGTGGCTCAATCTTAAGTTTATCAAGCGACGAGAATACTTTTTGTGCGCAAAAAACAAACAAAAATAACAACTTTATTCAACTATTCATTTCCTTCTCTGTGGGCCTCGAGATTTCACGTAGTTCTGTGTTGTACGTCACAACTACGTGAAATCTCGAGGCCCACAGAGAAGGAAATGAATAGTTGAATAAAGTCGTTATTTTTGTTTGTTTTTTGCGCACAAAAAGTATTCTCGTCGCTTGATAAACTTAAAGGAACACTCCGACTTTTTGGGACTTTAGCCTATTCACCTTATCCCCCAGAGTTAGATAAGTCCATACATGGACTTATCTAACTGCTGCTGTAGGTAACTTTTGAAAAAATGTGTTTGCTAAAACTGTCATTATGTCCTGACAGTAGAATATGAGACAGATAATCTGTGTAAAAATCAAGCTCCTCTGGCTCCTCCCAGTGGTCCTATTTCCATTTGCAAGAAATACACGCTCCCGGTCAGAAACAACCAATCAGAGCCAGGAAGAATGTCTTAGCAGTGTCAATCACGCTCGTGTACGCGCTGATCACACCCCTCTCTTGCACAGCGCGAGCCGTCGTTCAAACTCAAGATTGCCGGCGTGCTGCAGCTGTGTTTATGACGGAGAAACAACCTAAACTGCCAATTCTCGAGTGACACCTGCTCATAAAACAAAGAGGTAAAAGGAAAAAGACTGATGACGATAAACAAGCGAAAAAGAAAGAATTACACAGAGCCCATTGACTCGGTGTCAAAACTGTAGCCGCATAACATGTAGATAAAATATCACGCACTCTGCTAAGCAACAATTGAAACCTGCTAATTCACTGGCTTGTCATGTTGCTGAAATAATGTACTAGCACACCTTATCTAGCATTATATATCGCTAGAATAATTACTTACATACTGTAACGTTAGTTACCGTTATCTTACTAGCTATTTATAACTTATAGAAAGCGTGCAACGTTATAAAGTTACATGTAGGCTATTGCAAAATACATAATGATTTGAGGACCAAGTTTGTAGTCAAAGTATGGGCAGGCCATAGTCAATGTAAAGCATATTATTGACGTTTAGTCCCTATTAGTGAATGTGCCATATAACTTTTTATCCACCGTCATCGGTGGCCCTGTTTACCAGGGCTGTAGCGATACACTAATCTCACGATACGATACGATACACGATATTCAGCTCACGATACGATATATATCACGATATTCAGCCTACGATACGATTCGATACGATTCGATATAATTCGATACACTTACATCATTTTCTGAAAGATTTAAAGGGGACAGAGTGATTTTGGTGACATCTTGTGAGTGTTTCATTTACTTGGATTAATTTAAATGAAAACTCAAAAACATCAGACAGCTTGCAAAATAAATGCTGGACAAAATTAATCAAAGATGTGTTGAGAAAATTAGTTCCATTTATTGAAACAGTGCAAACTGTAGCTTACAAGACTTTGAAAAGTAAATAAAGTGCAACATTGCAATTTGCAATTAACAATGAAGAGTTAATGAAGCAATGAAACAATGAAGGTGCAAGCCGCCAGGTAAGTAAACATAGTAGTACCATGGCTTCTCCAAAACATCAAATAATTCAAGTCAATAAGAACATTTAACTTAAAACTTAGCTGAGTATTTTAAGGCATGTAAGCCTACACGTATGTGAGGTAGCCAGTCTAGCCAGCAGAAAAAATAAACCATGGCAGCCAGACAATAATTCAAGTTGAATTTTTTTTTACCCATCTTAGCAAAGTAGCTTAAGGCCTTAAGTGAACACTAAACAAACTCTCCTCTCCACATAACTGCAGACCAAGTGATCTACATTGTCTTCAGATTTTTGTTTAGGAAAATAATTTGATCCACATGCTCTGGGAGAAGTGCGCTTCTCTGAGCAGTGATGATATCTCCGGCTGTGGAAAATACCCTCTCAGAGGAAACGCTAGTGCCAGGGATACAGAGGTACCTTTTAGCAAGTTGTGACAAGAGTGGATACTGATACTGGTGCTCCTTCCACCAGACCAGTGGATCTTCTTTCACTTCCAGGAGATCTGCCTCCTTGTAGCGGGTCATCTGCTCCTTGGCCTCGTCCTCTTGGGTATTTTTCTTGGTTCGTGCTGCACTACCACCGTATCGTTCACCAAGAAGGGCAGCCAGTGGACAAGAGGGCCTTGGATTCCTGGGTGGAGGACGCTGACCTTCAAATAAATAAACAATAAAAACAAAAAAAACATTACTTATAGTTAAGCACATTCCATACTTCCTGCACAGAAGTTCAGACAACACACAGTGCGGATAACAATGGGTAATACTACTGACCTTGACTGCTCACTCCTTCCATGAAATGCTCTCCTTCATCCACAGCGTCTTTATCTTCTTTAGATGCCATCCCCTCATCATGAGCATGAGCATTTGCTGTGCCCTCTTCATCCACACTCCAAAGTGACTAAATTAAATAAGTCAACATGAAATGAAATTCATGAGCTTTTATTGTATAAATCTTTTAATTACTATATTAAATATGCATTTAAACCTGTTAACATTATAGTATTTAATTATGCTTTTAAAACTATTTAATATTTATCTATTTTAAACTGATGTCGGATTTGCCTTTTAAACTAGTAGCAGTACCATCACTGCCTTACCTCTGATGGCTGCATGCTCAGTCTTGCAGCCTCTACAATCAGTCCATCATAAACTTCCTGTCTTTCATCTTCAGTCAGGAAGGGAAGACTTTTGAATCTTGGATCCATCGCTGAACAGGCATGGAGAGTTGCCTTGAGGTCCATATACCTCTTCTGAAGATCCCCAGCCATGGCAGCCTTCATCTCTTTTATGACTGCAGATTCACCTTCGATCGGTTTCAGTCCGTTGATCAGTGTGTCCTGGAGGGGTGCGACGACTGACAGTGTGGGGGTCTTCTCCTTGGACATGTACTGTGTTGCCTCTTTCATAGGCTTCAGAGCGCTGACTACTTCTTCAGCTGTTGTCACATCTGACTCAGTCAGTGTGCACAGATCTTTCTCGGTCTTCCTGACTTCACTCGAGAGCAGGGTTGCGCAGATGGCCGGTTGTTGCTCCAGGAATCTTTCCAGCATGTCATGCGCACTATTCCATCTGTAGTTAAATAAAATAAATATACTTTATTTATATTTTATTTATAGACAGCATGGATGCTTTACATAAAAGACTAAACAAATTAAATAATAATGTAATTAATAAATGAATAAGTAATAAAAAAACAAATAAACTATTGAAAAGTAACCACACACTAACCTGGTAACTACATCCGTCATCAACTTGTGCTCTGGTAGTCGTAGAAGCCTCTGTTTTTCTTTCAGCATGTGGTTGGCTGTGGTGCTCCGTCTGAAGAAACTCACAATGCGTCTCACCCTTCCCAGCAGGCGTGCGACTGCTGTGATTTTGAGGGCACGCTGTGCAGCTAGATTTAGTGTATGAGCATAACATTTGACATGAAGTGTGAATGCTGCCTCCTCAGCTGCGATTGTCATATTTGAGGCATTGTCAGTGACGATTACTGGATCCTTTTCTGTGATTCCCCACTCAGCGAGGGCCTTTCTCAGATGTTCTGCCAGGTTGTGTCCGGTGTGGCTCTCGGGCATGTCCCTGGTTTGTAAAACATACGTAACGAGCTCCCATTCCTCGTTGATAAAGTGGGCCGTGATGGTAACATACGCTTCAGTTGTGCGCGAGGTCCAGCCGTCGCACGTCAGGGCAACTCTCTCCGCGCTGGCCAGGGAGGCTTTAACGTGTGCCCTTGTCTGAGCGTACAGCCCGGGAATGGAAACCTTGGTGAGGTGTTCGCGGGTTGGAATCGGATAGCGGGGCTCCATCGCGTTCACCATGCGCCTAAAGCCGGGGTTTTCCACCACTGAATATGGTCTCAAATCCTGGCAAATAAAGTAGGCAATGGACTCTGTAATTTTCTGCGACCTTGGTGAAGCAGACGGAAACTTGTGGGAACAACCGCCATCAATGTCCAGCGTAGTTTGTTTTGGGTCACGCGGCCGCTGCTGCTTTGGGTCCTCCGTAAGCATAAACTTGTCCAGGTGGTGACGTTTTAGGTGCGCTCGTAAATTTGTGGTATTGCCGGAATACTTAACTTTAGTGCCACATAGCTTACAAACCGCGACGCTTTTATCCAAGTCGTTGCTTTCCTTTGTTTTTTTAAAACCAAAGTGCTCCCACACATCTGCTTTTAAGCAGGCGGGTGCCGGATTTATATTCGCCGCCATTCTATGAATATCCTCGCTCTGACTTGGTAAACAGGAAGAGTTAGACGTCTGCGTCTGTGTACATTTTGTACGGGTAACTTGCTCTACAGCAACACTAGCGGCTGGCTGACCAAATCGCTCTTCCTGCAACACGAACGGGGGTAAACACAGGGGATTTGAATGGGACGTATGTATCGATACTCGCGGCTAAAAAATCGATACTTTCTTTGGAAAAAAAATATCGATTTATATCGCAGAATCGATAAAATCGCCCAGCCCTACTGTTTACTAGCCTGCGCGTTCACGACAGGCTCCGCTGTGGAGGACGAGCTGTGGAGGGAGGGCTGTAGCGCAGCTGAGAGCAAGGGGGTGGGACCTGTAAGTTGTGCTTGTTCAAATTTTCAGGCCAAGTCAACGTTTTCTCAAAACTCCCTACTGCAGCTTTAAACATTTATAATAAAGAATTATTTATCGCTTCCCTGTAGCCAAGTGAACCGGAATTATCCCGACAACATTTTATCTGTATAGAGGTAAAGGAAAGGGAAGGAGGCCTTCACAGGGGAGAGTCTAGTTGACACTTCACACTGTAATAAGTTGACTTTACTAAGAAAAGCTGTGGAAACTGATTGCCTCAAATTTTTCAAGCAAATTAGGTCATAATTTTTGACTTGATACTACTGTCTACTTCTTTATAGAGTTAACTTGTGTATTTGTAGAGGTTACCATAAAACTTGAGTACAGGTAACTTAATAAACTCAAGTTTAGGCAACTTACAGATTTAAGTTGAGATTTGTAAGCAGAACTTAAACAAAACAGTTAATTTAACATGTCTGCTTGTTCATTTTACTAGAGGAATGTGTGGAAACTGATTGCCTTAAATTTCTCAAGCAAGTTGTACTCAAAATTCTAAGTTGAGAATACAAAGACAGACAACACATTTGGCAAAACACTAGAATGTTTATTTGTTCAACAATAATAATGTTAAAACATTACTGGCCCGCCAACAACATTTTAGAAATAAAGCACATAATGCACTCAAGAAAAAACAAAAAAACTAAAGACAATAAAGACATCAATGTTTCTTTGTTTTTAACATCTTTACAAAGTGGTTGAAAGCAGAGCATGTAAGTCACAGAGTTTGGTACAGAATGCCTTTCCTACTGCAGTTCTCTTTAAAATTATCTTCTTATAAAACTCTATTCTAAAACCAAACAAGTAAACTTGAAATTTAAAACATCCTGTTAAATATGGATATTTTTTTTTTTTTTTCATTTTCAACAATTGGAAAACACTGACGTATCTGTAAAACAGTACTGAACAATTTTCTTTAGAGTTCTCTTAAAGGGGTCATATAATGCCATTTTTGTACAAGCTAATATGATTCTTTAGGGTCTAAATTAAAAGTTTGTAATATACTTTAATTAAAAATTCTCATTAGTATTGTAAGAAAACACTTATTTTACCTGGTCAAAAACAGCTCTGTTTTCAGCACGCCGTTTCAGTGCATATGACTTTAAATGATCATGAGCTTTGCTGACTCCGCCCCTCTGTTCTATGCGTACACCAGAGCTCTGGCGTACACCATTTGTAACTCAATAACCATAACGCGTTGTTCAGTATAAACGTGGGATTATGAATTATATTGAGAACGTCATACATAGAAAACATGCCGTAATGTAACCTGAGTGTAAACCTTAGACGCATTCATTGTGAAGCGTGCAGCTAGCGATTTGCAAAGATTAATATATTAATATAAAGTTTAATAAAACGTTACACTCACTTCCGTTCTTCTGGAGATTCAGCAGGAACACGAATATCTGGTAGCAGCTACCGATCCATTTTTCATGAGCAGCAGCTTAGCAAATCCAGCTTTATACTGATCCTCGTCTATAAATATGGAAGTAAAATAATCCCAAATGTTTTTGAAACAAAAAGCCTGTTGAATTGTACTACTTGAAAAAAAATATGCATTGCATTAACCCTGCTTGTATTTTAATGCATTGTATTTTTAGGGCTTGTATTTTTATAGGCTGAAATTTAGCATGGTTAAATATTTAAGCTGTGAATATTTCAAATCAAAACATTTCAAACACATTTTCATTAGTAAAATTTCAATAATCCATATTCACCTTTCATATTTCACTTCCAAAATATTCAAACTGATTAAAAATACAACCTATAATATTCAACAGGTGGTTTTCGGTCCATTTTATTTCGCTTTGCAAATTCGCTTCCACAAATTCAGTGGTTCAAATTCGACAGTAAATTCAAGGTTGACATCCAGGAGCTGCAGGAAAAGCAGTAGATTACCGAGCATAATCTCCATCTGCTGTTAGTCGACCTCACCAGCAGGGGGTGCAAGCGCGTGTTGTTGACGAAGACCAGAGCAACAGTTAGCGCAAGCCATTCATTCATAAAAACTCAGCATGCATTATGTTTTTTGTGACGATTATCTGGGTCAGTATATATGCGGAAAAGATGATAAAGGCACAAAAGCTGTTTTTATGTTTCATTCATTGTTACTTTCCCTGTGTAGCCTTATGTTATCAGCCTTTTCTACAGTGAACGGGATTATAATCTGTTTCCCTCAATACATCATCATACTCAAAGATTCCCCGAATTCCGTCAGGACAAAGCGCTTAACGTAGCTTAATGGACTACAGTGATATAAAAGACCAATTAATGTTTTTTTTGTCCATTAAGCTACGTTAAGCGTTTATGTCCAGCAGGGGAATCCTGACATATTGAGGGAAACCCTAGTACTGCATGCAGCACATCGCTGCAATATAAGGTTAAGGCAACTAAACAACCAAGAGAAATATGTCAAATGTAACACTGGATCTGTACATCCGCATCGGGGGAATAACATTATCGTTCATGGTAGAGAAAGATGCATGTAGGCTACACAGGAAAAGTAATCGTGAACACACTGAACTTCACATAAAACAGACGTCATAATAATCACAAATACACTTACATTTTTGTAAATAAGTTTTTATGAATGAATGGCTTGCACTAACTGTTGCTCTGGTCTTCGTCAACAACACGCGCTTGCACCCCCTGCTGGTGTGGTCGACTAACAGCCGATGGAGATTATGCTCGGTAATCTACTACTTTTCCTGCAGCTCCTGGATGTCAATGTTGAATTTACTGTCGAATTTGAACCACTGAATTTGTGGAAGCGAATTTGCAAAGCGAAATAAAATGGACCGAAAACCGCCTGTTGAATATTATAGGTTGTATTTTTAATCAGTTTGAATATTTGGGATGTGAAATATGAAAGGTGAAAATGGATTATTGAAATTTTACTAATGAAAATGTGTTTGAAATGATTTGATTTGAAATATTCACAGCTTAAATATTCAACCATGCTAAATTTCAGCCTATAAAAATGCAAGCCCTAAAAATACAATGCATTAAAATACAAGCAGGGTTAATGCAATGCATATTTTTTTCAAGTAGTACAATTCAACAGGCTTTTTGTTTCAAAAACATTTGGGATTATTTTACTTCCATATATAAAGCAGTCTGGTGAGAAATGATTCGCGCAAACATGAACGCATTGACGTTGCTCGTGGGGAATATTCCCTTCGAAAACAAACACAGCCACTGCGTCTTCAGCGGTTCGGATTTAGGAACATTAAAATGACTGCTGTGTTCGTTATTACACCCAAGAACAGAACACCACAATCGCTTAGACGCCATTCTGATCATAGACAGTGCTCCAGCATGTCAACAATGACCGCGCCGGTCCGCGCAGACTATGATTGACAGCTCTCTCATGGAGCTGATCTCACCCGCGAGGGCGGGTCTGTGTTGAGACGGTCCTGTCAATCAACAATCGTGGGAGGGGCTTCCGAGCGTGTGACGTCACACGGTCGAACGGCTCGATTTGAGGCAGGGGAAAACATATAAGGAGATTAAAACAAAACCACTGGATGGATTTTTATCATTATATGATGGTTGTGTACAGACACTGCCAACACACATTTCAGTACAATCAACTTGTAAAAGTGCATGCACCATTATATGACCCCTTTAAAGGAACACTCCACCGTTTTTTCATATTAAACTATGTTATTCCCTTAACTAAGACGAGTTGATACATACCTCTCTCGTCTCAGTGCGTGCACTCAATCGCTCTGGCGCGTCGCGACACTTTGATAGCACTTAGCTTAGCCCAGTTCATTAATTAGGATCCAAACAGAGAAGCGACCAAACACCTCCACGTTTTCCCTATTTAAATAGTTACACGAGTAGTTACACGACCGAGAATGGTGTAAGATGATTACACCACTGTAAAATGGATAACTATAATGTATGGCTGAATAGCACTTGAGAGCACTTCGACTCGGCGCAGTAATATCATCACTCCTAAAAAATCCTCTCATCATCAGGAGTGATGATATCACTGCGCCAAGTCGAAGTGCTCTCAAGTGCTATTCCGCCATACATTATAGTTATCCATTTTATACGCTTAGAAAAGCGCCACGTTTTATTTTGTGTCACCATACTTGGTCGTGTAACTACTCGTGTAACTGTATTTAAATAGGGAAACCGTGGAGGTGTTTGGTCGCTTCTCTGTTTGGATCCTAATGAATGAACTGGGCTAAGCAAAGTGCTAACAAAGTGTCTCGCGCGCCAGAGCGATTGAGTGCACGCACTGAGACGAGAGAGGTATGTATCAACTCGTCTTAGTTAAGGGAATAACATAGTTTAATATGAAAAAAACGGTGGAGTGTTCCTTTAAAGACAGCTCTATTCACTCAAAGCATCATGGCTATGATCTATTACTGCATCAGGCGATTTTTCAGTGATTGGATTTTAGGTTTGAGTGACTTGTGGCCAAGGGACAAAATCACTCTCTGTATGAAGTCGAATGTGCTCTTCAGTGCTGCAGGATACTCTAAGTTTAGAGCATAAATTAGTCCAAAGAGCAAGCACATTGCTTGTGGAAGATTTTCAAGATCATCCACAACCACTGTACCTTCCAGAATGATTGCCGTTGTTGTGGCAACAAG